CACAGAAAATTTATCAAGGACACCCTGAGGAACATTTTCATCTAATACAGTGACCCTTTAACGGGGCTCCTAAGGCAACTTTTGGGGCCTATCAACGGAGACAAAAAGGGAACCAAAAATCCTGCACATTTTGCGCAAGATGTAAAATGCAGCATAACATGGCAACCCTACATTTTATCACACCAAGTTGTTCATAAAAATTATAAAGGACACTCGGAGGAATATTTCTGTAAAGCACATTAACCCTCTAATTACACACTAAAAGGGACTTTTGACACTATAAATTAGAAAAAAGAAGTAAAATTCTACAGTTATTTATAGTTTTGGGTAAGATTTTATTTGGAGCATAACATGGCAACCCTACATTGTAGCATTATAAGTTGTTCGTAAAAATTGTAAAAAACTCTCTGGAGAATATTTTTCTAAAATACTCTAATCACCTATCTATGCTCGGGAAAGAATTATAGCTCAAGAAATCACAAAAAAACTAGTCAAAAATCTAAAGTGATTTTTGATTTTAAGTAAGATTTTATTTGAAGCCTAACTTGGCAACCCTACATTTTACAAAACAAACATTGACAGGAAAATTTTCTAAGAACACAATGAAGAATATTTTTGCTAAACACATTAATACTCCACATGCGATCTGAAGTGGACTTTTCGGCTGAAAAATCTACATAAATAAGGAAAAAAAGTAATTTGTTTATAATTTTGAGTAAAGTTATAATATAAATATAATTTGGTAACCCTACATTTTAGGTACCGTAATTTCAAGGAATTTTAATGCGAAAATATTGAGGAATATTTTTGTGAAACACACTGACCCGATATCTCCGCACTGAAGGGTACTTTTGACCCTATTAACAAAGACAAGCAATAAAACCTAAAGTGTTACACATTTTGGGGAAGATATAAAATGAGGCACAACTTGGCAACCCTACATTTTTGCATTATGCAATGGTCGGAAAAATTGTGAAGGACACTCAGGGGAATATTTTTGTGAAACACATTAATTCCCTAGCTATACACTAAAAGGGAGTTTTGGGAGTATATATTAGCAAAAAGAAGAAAAAATCTAAAGTAATTTATAGTTTTTGGTAAGATTTTATTTGGAGCATAACATGGCAACCCTAAATTATAGTATTATGAGTTGTTCGGAAAAATTATGTAGAACACTTTGAGGAATATTTTTGCGAAACACTTTAGCTCTCTAGCTACGCCCCCTGAAGGACCAGAGGTCTTGGCAGCACCAAGAACTAGAAAAAAATCTAGGCTAATTTTTTGTTTTGAGTAAGATTTTGTTTGGAGTATAACTTGGCAACCCTACATTTTAGCATTATGGGTTGTTCGAAAAAAATATTGAGGACACTCCGGGAAATATTATTGCGAAGTATATTAACTCTCTATCTATGCTTGAAGAGAACTAAAGGCCTTGGAATCATCAAAACCTAGTTAAAAATCTAAGGTAATTTTTTGTTTTGGGTAAGATTTTAATTGGAGCATAACATGGTAACCCTACACTTTAGCATTATGCCTTATTCCGAAAACTTATGAAAGACCTTTCGAAGAATATTTTTATAAAACACATTAACCCTCTAGCTACTCTCCGAAGAGAACTAGAGGCCTAAAAATCATCAAAAAGTAGCAAAAAATCTAAAGTGATTTTTTGTTTTGGGTAAGATTTTAATTGGAGCATAACATGGCAACCCTGCAATTTATGAACAAACAATGGTAGAGAATTTTTCTAAAGACATTATGAGGAGTATTTCTTCCCAACACATTAACTATATAGCTGCTATCTGAAGGGGTCAATTTGAACCCAAAACCCAGACCAAACGAAAAACCTAAATTCTTACATATTTTGGGTACGATATTAAGGTCCTCATAACTTTGCAGTACTACATTTTGGAAATAAAATTTGTTTCGAAAAGTTATCAAAGACCTTCCGGAGAATATTTTTGTAAAGCACATTTAGCCTCTAGCAACACTCAAAAGAGAACAGGAGGCCTAGAAGTCCTCAAAAACTAGTCAAAATCTATTTTGATTTTTTTGTTATGAGTAAGATTTCATTTGAAGCATAACATGGCAACCCTACAACTTACGAACAAACATTGGTAGGAAATATTTCTCAGAACACAATGAGGAATATTTTTCCCAAAGACATCAATCCTTTATCTTTGCGCGGAAGAGAACTTTTTGGGACCAAACATCAACAAATATGAATCCAAAGGGATACTTAGTTAATTTTGCAAATATTCTCCAATTGGGTACATTTTTCGTCCAATACTGGATTTAACGGAAAAGGTGTTAATGGAAAAATTATTCTACATAAAATTTCACTATGAGTTACCTAGCACAAGAAATCCGTACCTATAATCGTATATCACTACAATGTCGGTGCTAAATTTAATTTATTTAAAGAATAGATTTTTGTCTGTCTTTTTATTTAAATTCATTTTTAAGGATTGGATTTTTTTCCAATAAATTTTCAATTACTTTATATTCATATATTTTGCAGCAAATAAAATTTCTATGAAATTTTGAAATTTTATTATGCACAAAACAAACAAATATTGCCATGTATAACAATAATTGAAATTCACTGGAAAATGCTGCTTCTTGTCGACTACAAAATGTATATCATGTTCGAATAATGTTTATAATTCGGGGAAACAAATTGCATAGTTTGTTGAAAATATTTAAAATTTAAAAAAACTCCATATTTCATATTGTTGCCATTTCTGGGAAAACAAACTGCATACAATTATCAGAATTATTAGTATTCGATTTTTTCACATGTAAATTATAAAATAAATTTATACAGTTGATTGAAGTATTTAGAAAAAAATTGCATACAATACAATAACAACAAATTGTTTGAAAATTAATTTTTCAATCTAATATATATTTATTGATCGCCTTTTCAGGAAAATTTGTTAACAAATGGTTTTTAATTTTATTTTTATATTGCCTGGTTGTCGGGGTTGAGTGTGTGTGAGTGAGTGATGTGTTTATGTAATATAAATATATAATTTATTGTTATTGACTGAATTGGAAACTATGTTTTAATAATTTTTTATTTAAATTCCCTTGATATCACCAAGGACTAAGAAAAAATCTTGTTTTGAGTAACATTTTATTTGGGACACTTGCCCAGTTGTGCCCCAAATAAAATGTTACTCAAAACAAGATTTTTTCTTAGTCCTTGGTGATATCATTTTAGCATTATGGTTTGTTCGGAAAAATTATAAGGGACATACTGGGGAATATTATTGTGGAACACATAAACCCTCTAGCTATGCTCTGAAGAGGACTACATTCCACGATATCACGAAAAAGCAGGACAAAATCTATAGTGATTTTTTGTTTTGAGTAAGATTTTATTTGAAGCATAACATGGCAACCCTACATTTTATGAACACACAATGGTAGGAAATTTTTCTACGAACATAATGAGGAATATTTTTGCCAAACACATTAACCCTCTAGCTGCTATCCGAAGGGTCCGTTTTGGACCCAAAACCCAGACAAAAAGAAAACCCCAAAGACTTACATATTTTGGTAAGATATTAAAGTCCTCATAACTTCGCAATCCTATATTTTAGAAATATGTTTTGTTCCGAAAAAGTATGAAGGATCTTCCACAGAATAATTTTGTAAAAGACATTAAACCTCTAGCTGTGCTCTGAAGAGAACTAGAGCCCTAGAAATCATCAAAAACTAGTCTAAAATCTAAAGTGATTTTTTGTTTTAAGTAAGATTTTATTTGTAGCATAACTTGGCAACCCTACAATTTAGGAACATATATTGGCAAGGAATTTTTCTAAGAACACAATGGGGAACATTTTCCCCAAACACATTAACCCTCTAGCTGCTATCCGAAGGGTCCTTTTTGGACCCAAACCTCAGACAAAAAGAAAACCCCAAAGTCCTATATATTTTGGGTAAGATACTAAAGTCTTCATAACTTGGCAACCCTAAATTTTAGAAATATAGTTTGTTCCGAAAAATTATGAAAAAAATTACGAGGAATATTTTTGTAAAACACATTAACCCTCTAGCTCCGCTCTGAAGAGAACTAGAGCCCTAGAAATCATCAAAAACTAGTAAAAAATCTAAAGTGATTTTTTGTTTTAAGTGAGATATTATTTGGATAATAACTTGGCAACCCTACAATTTAGGAACAAACAATGCTAGGGAATTTTTCTAAGAACATAATGAGGAATATTTTCCCAAACACATTAACCCTCTAGCTGCTTTATGAAGGGGTCAATTTTGGATCCGAAACTAATAAAATAATTTGTTATTGCATATTTTTAGTTCCAAAATTATTTTTTTCATTGCCTACTTTTAGTTGCCCCAAAAAAATCATTTGTACTATTTTTTATTGCCTACATTTAGGCTCAATTTTTTATTTTTTTCCTTAAGTACTCAAACTTTGAAAAATAGTTCTGTTATTAATTTTTTCTCTCTATCTCTCCTTAATTAAATATGCCAATAATTATTGCCTATAGTTAGGAGAGTTCTACGCCCTCCATCAAATGGGCACTTTTGGAAAACTTTTCAAAGAAATTCTACTCTTTATAATCCAATTATTTAGCCATTAAATGGCATAGGGTGAGAATGAGAAAAAAAATTGGAGAGTAATTGGAAAGTTTTATTATCTTTATGTCTTCTTTCGATTCCCGTTCTTTTTTGTCACACAAATTAACAAAACTTTTATTCCATGTCCATCCAAAGATTTTTTTCGTTTGCCAGCCAAAAACAAAAACCACCTTCATCCAATTATGGTCAATAAAACTAATTGCTTTTCTTTTTTTCATTCCTTTTCTTCTTCGTTTTCTTTGTAGATTTTGGGAAATTTTGCGCCATGTGAAATCAGCCAAAAAACTAGCTGTCACAGATTGACCACACAGGAAATAAAATGGCCATGAAATAAAAAAGGAAGAAGAAATTCAGAAGCAAGTTTTCATGCCCTCCAAATTCGGGCCCATATAAACATGGAACAGCAATTTTCCTTGGTTTCAGGTTTACCACCACCGCCCTCCTCATCCGTGGCGGGTCAAAACACCTCCACAATATGCACCACAGCCATGTCAAGCTCGCTGAATTCCAGCGGGGAATATGTCAATGTACCCTCTTCGTATGTCACCATAGGTATGCTGCCGCCGCCGAACAGCCAAACATCCACGGCAAACCAATCCGCATCAAACATATCAACACCAAATTCATCAACATCCACATTTAAGACACCTCTGCTGCCCATGCCCACCTTAGAGGACATAGAAGGTGGCCTAATGGGCCCTCAGGCTACGGCCCAAAATCTAAATGCCTCGGTTATGCCTCAAGGGATTTTGAAATATCCAACATCAGGGGGAAATACTGTAATTATGCCACCACCACCTTCGCAAGGTATTGGTCCAGGTCCGCCATCAACAGTTATGACCAGCCATCCACCTCCTCCCCCCATGCACAGCACAACAACGACACACAACAACACCATGTTGTCAATACCACCGCCACCCAGTAATATATCCTTGGGACCCACACAACCTCTACCACCACCACCAGCTTGCTCCTCAGCCGCATCCTCCATCCCCCTAATGGATGCCTCAACGTGTGGTACCCTCAAAAGTTCTGCCAAATTACAACAAACACCCGCCACACTCATCAGCACAACCAGCGGCCTGCCACTGAACTCGAACAGCTCGATGGGCGCTGCCATTGCCGTTTCCAGCAGCAACAACATCAATACACCCAGCAGCAGTACAGTGCCTTTAAATCTTCACAGTACCACTGCCAATTCCAGCAAGACCAGCAGTCGAAGTAATTTACATCAACGACCCGCCTCTCCGAAATGTTGTTCGTGTTTTGGCAGCAGCAACAACAGTAATTCCATGCAAAATAATCGAGGGCGCAACAAATCGCAAACATCGATATCAATGAAATCGGGTGGGGGTGGTGGCAACAACTACAACGCACACAAGAAATCCTCCAAGGGCCATAGGCGTCACAATGTGCAAACATTTTGGTCGGCATTGCTCACCAATTTGGGGATTTGTGCTCTACTTTTGGCCTATACCTTATTAGGTAAGTAACCCCCAACAAAAATTTAATTCAGCAGCTCTGGTCCAACAGGAGACCGAACAAAACAATTTTTCATTATGCCAAAAACCAAAAAGGCCCTCAACAAAACACTCGCCCACATAACAGAAATAATTTCCCTTTGAAGAGCTCAAAGAAAAGGGACAAATATACAAAAATTTCCTCCTCTTCCTCTACCCCTGCCACTCAATCCCCAACAAAAATCCCCTTTAGCCTTTTCCAAAATTGGCCATACAAATTTTAATTATCAACAATAAACAAACAATATTCAAGTGTCTTGTTTTTCCTTCCATCGATAACAAAAATAACAATTATTTAAAGCCTACTATAAGGGGGCGAAAATAATTTAAAATAAACACCGGAATAAAACCCACTAACCGCCCCTTTACCCCCTCCACCCATCTCAAAAACAAGAAAACAATTAAAAGAGCAGTCCAAACCACTCAATTTGTCATTAACAGCCAACGGGGTTATTGACTTAAAGTTATTGTTATTTTCAAAAGAGTAGCATACTTTTAGGCTTTCAACACTTAATTGAGAAATTCAATAAAAAAAACTCAACCAACAAATAATTTTCTTAAAGTCAAATAAATTTCAATTAGAAAACTTTCTTAAGTGGCCAAAGGAATTTAAGTAATAAAAAGAAAATAAAAACAAGAAAATATTTAAAGTGGTGCATATTTTTAGGCATAACTTGATAAAGATCGACTATGGAGATAAGCATTGTTAAGAAAATTTGTTAAGGGCACTCGAAGGAATATTTCTGTCAAACACAGTAACCCTGTAGCTAACCTCTAAACCGAACTTTTTGGCCCTATCAAGTGAGACAAAAATAAAGCCTAAAATCTTACACATTTTGGGTGAGATGTTTAATGAAGCATAGTATGGCAACCCTACATTTTACAGTTATGAGTTGTTTACAAAACTTGTACAGGACACTTTGAGGAATATTTTTCTAAAACATATCAACCCTCTAACTATGCTCTGAAGAGGACTATAGCCCTAGAATTCACCAAAAACTATTAAAATATCTAAAATGATTTTTGGTTTTGTGTAAGATTTTATTTGGAGCTTAACATGGCAACCCTACATTTTAGAGTTTTAAATTGTTTAGAAAACTTGTACAGGACACTTTGAAGAATATTTTTGTAAAACATATCAACCCTCTAACTATGCTCTGAAGAGGACTTCAGCCCTAGAATTCACCAAAAACTATTAAAATATCTAAAATGATTTTTCGTTTTGTGTAAGATTTTTTATGGAGCTTAACATGGCAACCCTACATTTTAAAGTTTTGAGTTGTTTATAAAATTTGTACAGGACTCTTTGAAGAATATTTTTGTAAAACATATCAACCCTCTAACTATGCTCTGAAGAGGACTAGATCCCTAGAAATCACCAAAAACTAGTAAAAAATCTTAAGTGAATTTTTAAGATTTTTTTTGAGGCATAACTTGGCAACCCTACATTTTACGATTTAACATTGGTAGAGAATTTTTCTAATAACATAATGAAAAATAATTTTCACAAAAACATTAACCTCCTAGCTAATCGCTGAAAAGGACTTTTTGGACCCAAAATCCATACAAAAAGTAAAACCTAAAGTGTTACATATTTTGTGTAAGATGTTTTAGAGTTTTGGATTATTGCGGAGACTTGTTAAGGACACCTTAAAAAATATATTTGTGAAACACATTAACCCGCTAGATATGCTCTGAAGAGGACTAGAGCCTCAAAAATAACCAAAACCTAGTAAAAAATCTTAAGTGATTTTTGTGTTTGAGTATGATTTTATTTGAGGCGTAACTTGGCAACCCTTACATTTTACAGTTATACATTGGCAAGGAATTTTTCTCAGAACACAATGGGGAATATTTTTCCTTAAATCATTAACCCTCTAACTGCACTCTGAAGAGGAATTTTTGGACCCAAACCCCAGACAAAAAGTAAAACCTAAAATGTTACACACTTTGGGTAAGATGTCAAAGTACGCATAACTTGCAAACCCTACATTTTACAATTTTGGATTGTTCCGGAAACCTTTTAAGGACACATTGAAGAATATTTTTGTAAAACACATTAACCCTCTAACTACGCTCTGAAAAGGAATAAAACCCCAGAAATCATTAAAAACTAGTAAAAATCTAAAATGATTTATAGTTTTGAGTAAGATTTTATTTGAACCATAACTTGGCAACCCTACTTTTTACAAATAGACTTTGGCAGGAAAATTTTCTGAAAACAAAATGCGGAATATTTTTCCCGAACACACCAATTTTCTATCATTCCGCGGAAGATGAGTTTTTGGGCTCAAAAATAGACAAAAATTAATGCAAAGGGACACATATTTAATTTGCAATTAGTTTTAACCTATTTAGATCTTTAACGACTTCTGCTGGATTTTACGTAAAGGGTGTAAAGGGAAAAATATTTTGCACAAAATTTCACTAAATATTACCTAACACAAGAAATCCGTAGCTATAATATATACGACTATAATATCGATTCTAAATTCTTGATATCAAAAATATATAGTTTTTCGGACTATTTCCAATTTTGTGTCCATTTCCCCACTGTTCTTAATTTTTGTCAAACGATGTCAATGGCAAAAATATTCTTCACAAAATTCTACTAAAAGTCACCGAACACATAAAACTTGTAGCTATATCAGATATCGTATTTTTTGGCTATCTTTTCTTTTTCATTTTGGCCATCAAAAAAATCAAACATTTTTGAGATCCAAGCAGTTTTTGTTGATTTGCTAAAAGTGAGCATGTGTGTGTGAGTGGGTATGTGTACATATCTTAAGGATATTTAGCAATGTTAAGGAAAATCAAATGTATGTATTTGGGTGTTAAAAATGTATGTGTGTGAGAATGTGTACATCTCTCTTTCTAAGTTTAGGAGTGTCAAAATCATCAAGATATGAAATATAAACAAAAATTGTTAGTCCAACAGCTGGGTACTTTTTGAGATGCTGATACATGATGTGATGTGGCACACATAAATACAATGTACATATAAGTATGCTTTGAACATGGAATGGAGACGGAGAAGAAGAAAACGATCTAACGAAGGAACGAAGAAAATATGGGGAGTTCAGTTAAGCACAACAAACAGAAATTACCTAAAAATTGATTTCTGAAGCAATTTTGAAATTTGTCCAATTTTTTACAAGTCCTGTTAAACTGTAGTTTGTTTAAAAAAAGTAATTAGACAAGATTCCAGGACTATAGAAGGTCCATTAAAATATTTTTTAACAGTTCTCACCTTAATTAGTTGGGACAAAACCCCATTTAAAACATTTTTTAGTTTTGAGTAAGTTTGTAATTTGAGTATACCATGGCAACCCTACATTTTAGAATTTAGATTTCTGTGACAATATTGTCAGAAACCCTCTAAGGAATATTTTTGTTAGGCACATTAACGCTCTAACTGCCCCCTGAAAGGCACTTTTTGGCTCTATATCAGCGAAAAAAGGAAAAAAATCGAGTAAGATGTTTCGTTTTGAGTAAGATTTTAAATTAGGCATAATAAGGCAACCCTACATTTTAGGGATATGAGTACGTTGGCAATATTTTTAAGAACCCTTTAAAGAAGATTTTTGTAAAAAATTACCCCTCTAATTGTCACCTGAAGCGGATTTTTTGTTAGATAAATCTCCGAAAGTAACACAAAAAATCTAATGTAATTTTTAATTTTGAGTAACATATTCAATTAAGCACAACTTGGCAACCCTACATTTTAGGCAAATATATTCTTTGGGAATCTTGTTGAGAACCCTTCAAGGAATATTTTTGTGAAACACATTAACCCTCTAACTGTTCTCTGAAGAGGACTTTTTGGCTCTTTATATCCGAAAATAAGAAAAAAATCTATCATGACTTTTACGTTTGAGTAAGATTTTAAATTAAGCATAACATGGCAACCCTATATTTTCGGAATATATGTTCGATGGCAATATTTTTAAGAACCCTTTCAAAAACATTTTTGTAAAACACATTAACCCTCTAACTGCCCTCCGAAAGCGGTTTTTTGCCTCTATATCTCCGAAAATAAGGAAAAAAATTGAACAAGATTTTTAGTTTTGAGTAAGTTTTTAAATTAAGCATATCATGGCAACCATACATTTAAGGAATAAGTGTCCCGTGGGAATCTTTTTGGGAACACTTTAAGGAATATTTTTGTCGAAAACATTAACCCTCTAACAGCACTGTGAAGGGGACTTTTTGGGATACAAGCATTGAAAAACAAGGTTAAAATCGAAAACGATTTTTTGTTTTGCGCATGTTTCAAATTGAAGGATATCATGGCAACCCTACATTTTAGGATTATAGGTTCGCAGGGAATCTTTTTTAAAACATTTTAGGAATATTTCTGTGAAACACATTAACCCTCTAACTACCCTCTGAAGGGAACTTTTTGGACTACAAACCTTAAACACTAGGCTAAAATCGAAAGTGATTTTTATACCCTTCACCACACTGTGGTACAGGGTATTATGTCTTTGTGCATATGTTTGTAACAGGCAAAAATAATCGAGAGATTATTCCTTTTGAGAATTTGAATAGAATCTCTTCCTGAGTCGATTTATGCATGTCTGTCCATGTTAAATTGTAAACAAAGTACAGGTCGCATTTATGATCCGAATTGGATGAAATTTGGCATAGGTCACTTATTTCCCTGAACCCTATTGAAATTGGGAAAAATCTTTTAGATATAGCTCCCATATATATATTTAACCAATTTAATGTAAACAGTCCCTATATAACTTTCGATTTGCACGAAATTTAGTACAGCCTAATCATTTAGGTCTAGAATGATGTCTGCCAAGTTTTGAAAAAATAGATATAGCTCCCATATATAGTTTCGTCCGATTTCATGTAAATGGTGCCCCAAAGTCCCTATATATCTTTTGATGTGCACGAAATTTGGCATAACGTACTGAATTAAGCCTAGAGTGATGTCTGCCAAGTTTCGTGAAA